GGCGCATGGTCTAACAGGGTTGTGCTTATTCTCTTACTGAGTTTTGGGTGTTTTTTGAGCATAACGTGCATTAAACCAATCAGAGTCTCATCTCCCATTCCCTTTAAGAGTCAGTTGCGTTGCGCCATGGCGCACATGCTATTTACATGGCGGATTTTGCAAGTGGAAAAACTGAACGCCTCACTGGCGAGAAAACTGTTAAACAAATCTCTTTACTTTTCTTTTACTCTTTACTTTACTTTTTAACTTTCATGGATAAGGAAATGGTTTTGTGCACTCCACTGAAGACATTCATTAGCCAACATATTTAATTCTGTTTGTTAAGCACAAAATTTGTTTCAAAACTATTTCTAATTTCATTTCTAATTTCCAGTAAACGAATAAATAAACTATAATAACGAAGTGTGGTCAAAAAACTGAGTCATATCCATATGCAGACATCTCCAAAACCCGGCAGGTGGACAAAAGTAAACTTGTTTTAATAAAGCAAATATAAATTTGCATATAATTAATAATAATAATAACATTAAACAAATGCACATTGTCATGAACTAAAAACAGGCATTGAGGCATGAAGGCATGGAGGTAGTGTTTATATATATATTTTTAAATATAGGGGTACCTCAGGGATGTGTACTATCACCTCTTTTATTTTCTATATATATTAATGAACTGCAGTGCAATATTGATGACAATCTCACACTCATGAAATATGCTGATGATCTGGTATTGGTTTCCTGTCAGGAAGAAATGAATAGCTCTTTATATTTTAGATATATTGATAGTATTATAGATTGGTTTGGCAAAAGTTCATTACACCTAAATATTGGGATAACAAAAGAGTTATGTCTGGGGAGTCAAACAAGAAGAGTAGATACTGGACTCTTTAAACCAGTCACTATAAACGGACAAATAGTAGAGCAGGTTTCAAATTTCAAGTATTTAGGCACAATTATTGACAATAAATTGAATTTTAATAGTAATGTAGAGGCGGTTTATAAGAAAGCAAGTCAGCGCCTCTATCTCCTCCGCAAATTGAGAAGTTTTAATGTTAGTACACAGACTTTAAACTTGGCATATAGATCACTTATAGAGAGTGTTCTCACATATAATATTGTTTCATGGTTTGGTAACACAACACTTAAACAGAAAAAGAAATTAGCGCAAATTATCAATCAGGCAAATAAAATAACTGGTCACAAACAGCATTCATTGCAGATTTTATTTGACTTTTTTATGGAAAAAAGAGCAGTTGTGATTTTTAAAGATAATACACACCCCCTTCACTCAGCATTTGAATTGCTACCATCAGGACGCAGGTTTAGAATTCCTAAAGCACGAAGAAATGCCTATAAAAAGTCATTTATCCCAGTGGCAGTTGTTGTTCTAAACCGGATCAATGTTTGTAGTGAATGAGGTGGTTACCAAGTATGATTTGCAGTATTGTGTATGGGGCTAATTTGGTTTTTAAACTTTTAACTTATGTTGTTGTGTTGATAAGTATTATTGTGTCGTTGTTGTATGTTTGTAATTGTTGTCCTAAATCCAGTGTTGAAGAAAAATTTCCTTTCTGTTTCAAGCAGAACGGACAATAAAGTTTAAACTAAAAAAAAAAAAAAAAAAAAAAAAAAAAAAATATATATATATATATATATATATATATATATATATATATATATATATATATATATATATATATATATATATGTAGAAAATAATATTTTTTGTAACATTAATTCCTTTAATTTTAAAGATATTTGTGTATTGCTCTACATCCTGTGTGTATTAAGCAATGTGTAAGCATTTAGACTTGCATAGGCGCAAATCTAACGTGCAGTTTAGACCTGCTTTTAGTTGGTCAATGATGCAACCTATTTCAATTTCTCAGAATAGCAACGCACCAAAAATGCACCTTAACACACCTCCTTTATACACAAGCATGCCCATGAGTGGATAAAGTGGCGCAAATGGATTTGCTGTTTGAACAACGTATATATATATATATATATATATATATATATATATATATATATATATATATATATATATATATATATATATATAAATGTCTGTCAATATCAGGGTTTCAAGCTTTCTTGACCCTTTAACACCCCAGTACTGAACCAAGCTTCATCATTCCCCACTGTAACAAATTATTTTTTTGGATGTTTCCCTGTGATGGTGTCCTCCAGCAGGCCGGTGTCGCACACAGAAGGTGCACCATACGGCAGCAGAGACCTGCGAATATCCCCAGAGACGGGTCAGTGTCTCGCTTAGGCAACTGAGAGTCTCCAGCCCAACAGTCTGCTGGTAAAAGATGGATAAGGACTCTCTCACTCTCTTCTCCCTTGCTCCATGTAAATAAGTCTTAATGAGGCAGGAGTTGCACTTGAAACGGCCCCTGGGTGTCAACAGCTTTTCCCAGAGACCTTGAGTCTGACCCGGGTCTCTGCCGCAGCTCCTCCACCACCATCCAAGCTGTTGCCTTCCCATTTTTTTCCCTTTTTTTTTTGCTTCTCTTCCTTCGTCTGTTTGTTTCTAATTAGAGACAGCACGCTCTTCGCACACCTTGCACACATGCGCTCCAGGTGGCCGCTTTGCCTGGTGGGTTCGTTGTTGTGAGATTGCCTGATAACTGCCACTGGGGGTGAACTGGTGGTTTTCGGTCTGTGTTAACAGAATGGAGGACTAACATTGCGTGTGGTATACAAGGGTGTGAAACCGTTTGCTCTAACAAACGTGTAGCTGACAGAATTTGGAATGGGTTTTTAAATCTTTAAGAACACAAGCTAAGTTCTTGACCGGGTTAAAAACAATGCCGGGTTAAAAATGTAGCTTTAGTTTAAGGTATTTCTCACTAACTAGTGGCTTATTACCAGCCTATTTTATGATATTGGCTGTGTATTAGTACTTAGAAAGTACATATTCTGTATGATTTCAGTATATATACTACTACCTTAATAACTATTAATACACTGCAAAAGTCAAAGTTTATTAACATATTTTCTTTTACCCAAAATTGAACTGTATTGGAGTAGATAGTACAAATAAAATCATCAGAAATACACGTAGAGGGTTTAAGTTAACTGGATTGTATGGTTAATTCAATATTTACACAATTTGTTACGTATTCTTTTGATTGTTTTAGTTTTTTCACTTTACTTATGGTCAAGAAACATGAAAGTAATATTGATCAGGGTCGGATTAATGGGGTCTTTAAAAAAAGGTGTTTTTTTATAGATTAAATGTACTTGTTGGCATTCTTGATGTATACATATGGTTATGGTTAAATTTATTTTGTATTAATATTTATTATTAATTACTTAATTTAATATATTATTATTTATAGAGTGGCGACCCCAGATTAATAAAGGGACTAAGTCGAAAAGAAAATGAATGAATGATTATTTATACACTGTAAATGTGTGTATATACGTACCCTATGTACATATACAGTGGGAAAAATGAGTATTGAATGTGTCACAATTTTTCTCAGAAAACATATTTATAAAGGTGCTGTTGACTTTGTTTTCACCGTATGTTGGTAAAAACTAAACTAATTGGAAAGACAATGATCCAAAACACGGCTAATGAAACTCTCAGATGCTTTCAGAGAAAGAAAACCAAGCTGTAGAATGGCCCAGCCATCTACCTGACTTGAATCCAATAGAAAATACAAAATAAATATCAGATTCAATAGATGAGACCCACAGAACCATCAAGATTTTTACACTCTGCTCAGGTGTGATTCTTTTCAGTCTTCAACAATTCATGTGACCATTCATTCTTACTTTAATACGAGAGGCGTTTTTAAACTGACATCACCAAAAAAGCCTTTTACATACTGTAAAGTATTAAATACGTTTCAATGGTCCAGTACATTTTTGTTTCATTGTTATTTCAAGTAACTAAATTTTCAGATTTTTTGTTTTATTTTATTTTTTATGTTTGTATTGTTTAGGTTTTTACCAAAATCTTGTTCAATTTCATATCAAAAGCTCCTTTAGAAATATTATTCCCAGGAAAAAAAAACAACATGGCATGTTCAATACGTATTTTCCCCACTGTATTTATTACATACATATTTTTCCTTTTTATGAATAACATTTTCTGAATTAAAAACATCTCATTATATGTATTGTATTAAACGTCTCTGTGTGTATAAATAGCCTTGTATGTGTATTTCTGAATAAATTAATAATAAAAATAAAAATTGACAATGCAAACTCAAAATTATCTCAATTTATCGTATGCAATGAGTAAAGCAATAACCATCACCAACCAAGTGATGACAAGGATTTGGTTTTTGCTACGTTGATCCAATTTTGTGTAAAAACATAACATACAGTCTGATCTAACAAGAAATCCATATATGCAAAGGAAACTAAACTAATTAAATTACAAATGAAGTTGTTTAGTAAAATAAAATGACACAGGGAAAATGTATTGAACACATTAAGAAAGGAAGGTGTAAAAAGACAGCCCAGACAGCAGCTGAAATCTCTCAGTAGTTGTTCAGCAACCCTCTGCCCTTCCTCATTATAAATTAATATTAGCTGCTTCAGATTACATTGCTGCCATCCAACAAAAAAAAAAAAAAATCAAGAATTCATATTTGAGTAAAAAGGGTCCATGTTTTTGTTATATTTAAGATCAAATCAGACTAAATGTGTCACGCATAAATTAAATAGCACTTTGTCTTTACATAAGGTAGTACAGAAGGTTAACAGCCTCATATTGAGCATGTTAATAAGAGTTAAAGCAAGCAAACGCATTAAGGCTAACTAAAAATGTTTCTACAAAATCCATTAGTTTAATGATTCCTAATAGGAAATTGATCAAGTCGATTGCAAGTGCATTATATTCACTTATTTTATTAATACACTATTCGACTGTTAAATGAAGAAGAAAAGCTTTCAGACTAACTCTAAATGCAAATGTACCTCCAAATGTCATGGTGGCAGAAATGACCCGTACGCCTCATTTTTTGTGTCTCTCAGGAAAACAGGATTACAAGAAAACCAAGCCGGTGCTGCGAGCCACTCGGCTGAAGGCGGAGGCGAAGAGAAGTGCTCCGGGAATCAGGGTGAGACACTGCTGTCTTTCATTCTCATTACCTCCCCCTCCATCCCAACTGATCCCTCTCTCCCCATCTGCCAAACACACACACACACACACATTATTCATCACACCTCTCCAACCTGAGAGCAAGTCAAGCAGTCTCCATATTGATGAGGCAGAGAAGAGCTGTTTGACTCTCAGAGGAGAAGCTCTCTTTCTCCCTTGCCGTCTCCTTTGCTTTCTCTCCATCTTTCTCTTTCTCTTGGCTGTCACTCTAGAATAATAATCGGGAGTTTGAGGGAAAAGCCGTTTTTTTTTTTTTTTTTTTTTTTTTCAGCGTCTTTGTGTAATTTCCATTTATTAGTGGCAGTGGTTTGGTTGAATGTAACTTTTTTTCTGTTGCTTATAGTGGATTTGACTAATATGTTGCAGATTGGTTTTGATTTTATTTGCATTTTATACATATAAAAGTCCATGTGCAATGTGATTTTGTTTTTAAGCATAAGATTATCAGTATGCATAAACTTTATGAGGTGGTTTTATTCATATAGATGAATGCAAAATGAACAGTTGTCCATAGTTTATTATTCATGGGTGTTTTCTGTTTACTCTTTCTAATTGCTCTATGGGATCTTGGTCTCTGCTCAGTATTTGATTTTGACAGTATTGATATTTTAGGTTTGTTTGACAACAATTAGTCTCAAACAACTAAAACTATCAATAAACTTTATTTTGGACATATTATTATTTAATATTATTTATTGACTGTCTTAGTCCTTGCACTTTACAATAACATACACTGTACATCTCTCTATATTTAGGCTAAAACACTGCTTTATTTATTTATGCAAGTATGTATGTTTGTACTTTCATTTTAGTTATCTTTTATATCTTTAATTTGACTTTCCAAAACTTAAAGGTGCAGGTGATTGTCTTCAGAAACATTTTTTGTTGTGCTGGTTGAAAGTCTCTTCACATTCCAATAGAATTGATTAAAGTAAATGATCTAAGTGTTTTTATATGTATTTTTATATGCTGGGTAAGGTGTAAAACATAAAAATGTTCATCCAATTAAATAGAGTTGGGCCGACATCTCTCATAATTACCATAAGTAGCTCAAACTGTCTGTCAGCAAATGCAGATTTGAACAACTGCGCAGCCGTTTGTGCATTGCACCTTCATGAGAGTGAGAGTGAGAGAGGGAGAGAGAGACTTTGCTCTTTTGCACTCTCAGAAATAAGATACAAAACCCGCATTTCCAAAAGGTAAACTTTTGTTCCTAGCAGGTTTTTAAAAGTACATATTAATACCTAAAAAGTACAAATGTGTACCTTATTAAGGATTAAGGGTACAAAATTGAACCTTAAAAGGTAAAAGTGACCTTTAAGTTCTCCCAGTGTTCGTCAGGGTTTTCTCCAGGTTCTCCAGTTTCCCCCACAAGTCCAAAGACATGTGGTATAGGTGAATTGGGTAAGCTAAATTGTCAGTATGTGTGGGAATGAGTGTGTATGGGTGTTTCCCAGTGATGAATTGCAGCTAGAAGGGCATCTGCTGTGTAAAACATATGCTGGAGTGGATAAGTTGGCGGTTCATTCTGCTGTGGCGAATAAAGAGACTAAGCCGAAAAGAAAATGAAGGAATGAAGTTACTATCATGAATGAAGTTATGTCAACCTGTACGGTACGAAAGTAGAAAAGGTACCACCCCAGTGACGGATGTTAGACCTTGATTTCAGTGTTTACTTATTCTCAAGTAATTTCAAATGAGCATGACTTCTTTCTGTAATAAACAAAACAAGATATTATGAAAGTTTTCCCAATGGATACCAAAGCTGGAACTGATGTAAGAACTTGTATTTTTAGTTAAACCATCACTTAAAGCATTTATTTTTTTAATTATTTAATTATTTTCCTCCTGTTTTCTTTTGAAAAATCAAATGGATAAAATGTTTCTTATAGCATATTATCGCAAACATCTAATCAAAACTCTTGCTTTTTTGTTGTAAAGATCCTCTCTTCATCCTTGATAGTTTTGGCAGATAGTTTATTTTTGATTGGTTTTTGGCACGAGTATTTCTGGTGCAATATGTTTTATCATTTCTCTCAGAATACAGAGCGCTGTATTGGGAACTGTTGCCAAAAACAGCTCGATTCCGTGCTCAGTCCTCTCACTGACAACAATGATCTGAAACTAATTCATAATTCATAAGCTGCAATAGTTTCACAGCAGACTGGACGATGTCGAAACTCTGAGCACGACTGCACATGGCTAGAAAAACAACTTAAAAAGTTGCTTGTGTTGGGTTTAGTTTGGAATGAAGTAATCAAATGTGAAGGCTGCAGATTAGCTGGTCTTAGCAATTCAATTGTTTTTGTTAGAAAGCCAAGCCCTCATTACGATTCTTCTAAGTCTCATTAGTCTTTTATCCAATTACCGAGGCTTAAATCTGTGGAAATAATTTACATAAATTGCATTTTTTTTTTTACAAAAACCATCTCCTTCTTAATGACTTGAAATGTTCATTTAGTACATTTGAGACCAACTAAACGTCATTCCACAGGTATTCTTTCAGCCTATGAGCTCAGTGTGTTTACAGCTGAAAGCAACATCTCCTCATTCTGTCACAAACGTAGTTTATTGCGTACAGCTTTGGTCATTGACTTGGCATGTTTCTGAGGAACGTGGACGGCGATTTGTTTGTTCTGGTTTGTAATGTGACTAATAGACCCCTGAGCGCCACACTTTGGGTTTTTTTCTGGTGAGCGCTTCTCTGTGGTATGCTTCCTTGCTTTGCTTTTTTCTGAGGAGTTGACTCATTCTTCTACCACTTGTTTTTCCACAGGCCATTTTCTCTGGCTGTTTTTGCTTGGCAGGTGGCACTCCATCTATGACCATCCCTCACTCAACTCTCAGAACCATACACACGCGTCAAATTTTTACCTTTGTTGTTGGGTTGAACGATTTTAGAAAATTATTAAATTGGGATATTTTGCTCAATATTGCGGTTGCGATTTTAATATACTTTTTTTTTTCCAAAGTTCTTTTTTTCTGTATTATTAAACAACAGTATTTATGTTGATGTTTTAGTGGTGAAATATATAAATAAATGTGGTAAAATAACATATATTTATTTTCTATTAATTTTCTATAGATTTTATTTACTTTTATATTTATATTTATTTTATATTTATATTATTTTATTTTATATTTATTTTAAAATTAATTTATATTTATTTTATTTTATATTTATTTGATTTTATATAAATTTTTTATTTATTTCATTTTATATTTATTTTATATTGATTTTATTTTACTTTTTATTTATTTTATTTTATTTTATTATTTTTATTTTATTTTATATTTATGTTATATTTATCTTCAAATGATTTTATTTTATATTTATTTTATTTTATATTTATTTTAGTTTTTAATATTTCATTTATTTTCATTTAATTTTTTTGTTTTATTTTATGTTTAATTTATTAAATATTTATTTTATTTTATATACATATTTATTTAATATGTTTTTCATTTTATATATATATTTTTTTATTTCATATTTATTTTATACACATTTTTTATTTATTTTGTTTGGTTGGTTGGTTGGTACGTACTGTCATTCGCTGTTGAAAAAAAAGTGTAAAAACTGAAGGATAATGTAGGTTCACACAGCCACACAGCTAACTTGCACTATACAAAGGAAAAGCCCAAGTGAAAAATAAACTTGCATTCAAAGGCAACTTCATGACCCTCCAATTCATAATGACTCTCTGATGCATCCATTATAGAACTGCACAATAAAACTATTTTACATACACATCTCAACGATGCCTGAAATTAAGAAAATCTGTAACCTGCTGCTTCATCTGCAACAACTTTATTCTTGTCACATGACCACAGTTTAATAGCAGATGTTTAAAAAGAATGTGAAGCCTTGCTTTACAATGAATTTACAACAGCTAAGGGGCAATGTTCGAAGCCTAAAACCTCCTTAGCTGTTATAAATATTCCATAAACCACAGATTTACAGTGCTTATTGCTTTTATGAAACAGTTCATTGATATACGTAGCTTTTGGCTCAGTGCTGATAGCGGTTGCCAAGGAATAGGTGTATGATTGTAATTTATAGCTTCAAACATGGCTCAAACAAGAACAGGAACTCTTTGTATTTTTGAACATCACAATATTATTTCAAATGCAATTAATCAGTCAGCTTTAATGCTCACACATTCATCTTTTTCATCTCACACCTCCCCGTCCTTTAGTCCCATTTGTGAGGCTTCGGAGAGCAGGTTGAGTCTGAGGTTTCAGGCTGTTCTGGGGTCTGCTTTGGCAGGCCGCACAATCTGCTGTTCTGCACGTGGTGGCCAGTTGGTTTGCAGAGATGTTGCCTGCCGGCTCGGGGAGGCAGCGGGCGCTGCACCACCTGCTGTGGGCACTGCTTGGCTCCCTGGTGCCTGGCTGAACGGATGGCATCACCTGGCACGAAGTAGAGGGGCTGGCGGCATCAGCTGTGTGTGGGGCTCCTGGCCTAAAAAGTATCCATGCCAACTCGCTAGCCCTGGAGCTGAATATTGAGTGCCCATCAGCCAATTTTAACTGTTTCTTTTTAGTGCATTCCATCGCATGCATAAATAAGTCCTGGCGGTTTTTATCTAAGCTTCTAATAAACCATAAAATGTTGTATAGTAAGACTGTGCTTTTGGACAATTTTGTAAGGTGATGCATTCTGGCACAAGACACAAACATAATGACTGGGAGTAAAACATTCACCTTAAAAAAAGATCACAATATAGACCCAATCCCAATTCTATTTTTGTACCCCTTCCCCTTAGGCCCTTCAAACAAAGTGTGAAGGGGAAGGGCTTCAAAATGTACTCCTAAGAAGTGGGACACCACTACAGCACCAGCACGTCATCATATGTCATCATAAGCTCTTGCTTCATATGAGATCAGACGATGGTGACTGCTGTAGTTATTCCAGTTGCATTCTTTTTTGGTATTTATCTTAAGGAAATCACTGAT